GATCACCCAAATAACATTTCTAAATAATACTTTAATTTCATAATGGAAAGGAAATAAATTCATATTATGAAAAGAGAAAGTGGGAACCATTAAAACATATCCCACTATTCCACCTTCCTTGCTTTTTTGTTGATTGACCTGTAAAATCACCCTCTACCCATGCCATTCATAAAAACAACTTGTTCAAAAACTGTAACCTCCAGACTTAGCTCAAGTACTAAGACTTTATACAGCTTTTCCATTCATAAGAGGAAGTAGATCAGAGATAAGAGAATAATCAGGAAGCCATTGCAATGGCCCAAGGGAGATAATGAAACTCAATTTTCATAGCAGGCTTGTGTTGGAAAGGAAGCATTTCAGAGAGGTTGCAGAGGTTACTATAAGTGGGAGGAAAGGGAGGAGTAATGGGTGAGAGGAATTCATGACTCTCTCCACAGTTGACATAAAGCAACATATATAATAAAAAATAATATATAAACAAGATCTAGGATATCTTAATTCACCGATAAAATCCTCCCCAGGCTGTATAACTATTCCTTGGATTTGCTAAATTCCTGTGCTAGGCTTCTGATACCAGCCCTGCATTTGAACTTGGCCCTGGGATTCCTACTGGCCCCTAATCAATTATCATTCCTGGATGCTCTGATGCCTGCTAGCCCTGTAATATTCCCCTGGTTTTCCTCCTTTGAAAGTTCTGAGATATTTGTCTAAAAGAAGGACATTAAGAGTGCAGTATGCTTTCAGTGATGTGCAGCATGAGCCCCTGTAGGGAAAGAATACACTATGCTAGAGAAACTTTATTTTCATTCTCAATGCATCCCTAAAAGCTATGGTTTGTTAAGTTTTTGTTCATGTAAAAAGGGAACATGCGGGCACCTTTACTGTCCTGTTGATGTGCAGGGCTATTTTTAATTTTTGTTCTTCACTCTTTTTCTGTGCTTGTGATTTTAAAGGTGCCAGACTGACTGCCCTCGAGCCTAGTGTCCCTGATTTCTCCCAAGAATAGGAAAAATACCTGAGGCAGCAGAGCTGGTCATGTCTGGGGCCAGCATATTCACCTGACCCACTCTGGAAGAACATTCTCCAAAATATAAAGGAAAAAGAATTGTTCCTTAGGAATTCAGCCCATCTCCTTTCATAGATGAGAAGACAAAACCTTATTATGCCAGCACCAAATCATTGCAGAGTTTTTGGGTTCAATAAGCATTTGAAAAAACTAGGTTTTGTGTTGTTGTTTTCTCTTCCATTCCCACCTGTTAGAATTCCATCCTTTATGTTTGGGCTCAAATATTTTTTTCCCCACTAAAACTTTCCTGAGCCTTCTCAGATGCAATTTTCCTCCCACATTTTATTGCACTTTCCCATAGTGACACTTTCTCATGTGATTGTGGAATCTATATAGTCCCCTAATGACTGTAAAAGCTACTGATATTGTCTGATCCACTGTTGTATGTCACAGGGAAGCCAAATATAGTACTGGACAAAGAGTAGATACCCGGGGAATGTCTTGAAGAGAATGAGAATTCCAACACTTATCTTTTCAGCCTGACCTTCAGGACTCTTCTCTCATCTTTCCATCTAATCAGTGATGGAAATCTCCCCCAGGTTCTCAGACTGTCTATCAGCCTTGTAGGCCCAGACTCTTGGACTCCAGATATTACCCTTTGGGCGGTTGTGGTCTAGATTATTACCCCTACCTGCCTTGTAGACCAGCATTACCAACAGTTGATAACATCTGATTGAAACCATTTTTTCCACAAGAGATCACTAGTAGTCCCTGATGCATTATCAGGGAATCCAATTTGATGTCTAGAAAGGGAATTAATTAAAAACAATTTTGTTGACCTGCACTTAACTAATTTAAAATTTGAAATTTTTAAATTATAATTTTCTCAGGAATCCAACTGACTCTTTTGTAGTTTTATTTTTATTGCTGAGGGTATTACAAATGTCCCCCATTTTCCCACCTTTTGCCTTAGTTCGCCCAGCACCTGACCCAATCCTGGCCTCAACTGTACTATCGTATTTGTGCATGGGCTATGCATATATGCATATAAGTTCTTTTAGTAATCATCACATTATAAAAATATCAAAAGTACCACAAAACCTCTTTTGAATTATTTTTTAATCAACCGTTAGTAACAGTGCCATTCAGCTCAGAATACTTTCACGTCACTAGTAGGACTTTTTCTACTGGTGTTAAAGCTGTATTTTTCTTTTTTTCTTTTTTAAAATATATTTTATTGATTTTTAAAAAATATATATTTTATTGATTTTTTAAAAATATATTTTATTGATTTTTTTAGAGAGAAAGGGAGAGAGATAGAGATAAATGTCGATGAGAGAGAAACATCGACCAGCTGCCTCTTGCACACCCCCTACCGGGGATGTGCCCACAACCAAAGTACATGCCCCTGACTGGAATCAAACCTGGGACCTTTCAGTCCGCAGACAGACGCTCTACCACTGAGCCAAACGAGTTTCGGCTAAAGCTGTATTTTTCATTATTTACTATTGTATTACATTTTTCTTCAGATCAACCAAAGGCGATCAGTGATTTAAATATGAATCATTAAAGGTGAAAAAAAATAGTAATAAAGATAATACCATAAATTCGACTTCAGATTAATATTACAAATGTAAATTTTAGTGAACAGTCTTCCAATATATACAAGAAAAAAATCTGTATATGCTAGGATAAATATGATCTTTCCACACAAGCAGTTGAAAAAGAAGAGTTTAAGCTCTAAGTCTGATGATGACTCTTTAAAAATTAGATGTTATGGATTGCTTGTTATCCTCAATATGTTTTCTGTAATGAAATGTTGACAGATAATACCATGATGCTCTCAGAATTTTAGCATCTTTTCCAAACATAGCTCAGTGAACTTTCTAATTAATTAAACCAATTAAGTGTTTTGTTCTGAATAATCACACACACACACACACACACACACAAAACAAAATAGTGCTATATGAAATAATCTGCTTTGGTTACTAAAGTCAGTGAACATTTATAAGGTTAAACGTACCTCTCTAAAGTTATATATTTTTATAATAAAAAATAAATACAAGTTAACTCTTCAACAGAAGTTTGAAAATAAATAAAGCCACACTTTTTACAAATGTCAATAATGTCTTAACTTTATAATATGTCAGTCACAGTGGAGATGACTTAGTTTTCAAGGGTTTAACTATTTTTCCAACACTTGATATTTCTTATTTTTTAGGAGGAAAATAATGGATTATACTATAATAAAGACATTCAAATCTTGCAACAGAATAGAAAGAAATTTTTACAGGGCCAAATTCAACTAGAGAAAATTAGAGATATATTTGCCTCTTTTCTCCCAAGTTGAAACATTTAGCCCTCCTATTTTTAGGTGTGAAATGGTTGTCAATCCAATGTGACAAAGTGCTGAAAGCAGTCTTCATTCAGTGAGAAATCTCTCCACAATGTCAGATCTCTGTTCAATCCTGATGCGTAGAACCAGGCAGAAACAAGATTGCATAGTGGTTAAGACTATAGATGCTAAAAGTGGACTGCTTGAGTTTGTAGTTAGTTAACCATTTTGTGACTCAGTTTCCTCATCTGTAAAAGGGGAATAATAATAGTTCCTATCACATAGGTGGTTGTGAATATGAAAGGATTTAACACATAAAAAGCACCTAGAAAATTCCTGACACATATGAAGTGCTAGGTTTGTTATACCTTATCTGTAAATGCTTGCAGATTTTTGCAGACATCCCAGTGACCTGTAATTACTTAGTAGAAATAAAGAATGAGATGAGAACCTGGATGTGGACCTGACCTCTGACAAGATTCCCACGATGAAGCCAGATACAGAGACAGATTGCAACCAGTACAATGTCTCTCGCTGACATAAATATTTTTCTGAAATGATGTTGTATTTTTAAGACTTAATGTGAATCTTTTAAAGCTAAACCTGATGTCCATCTGTAGTCCAGATGCCCCATGAATCCATTTAAGAATACTGGAAGTTTGCAGAATCCTGGGCCATGAGGGACTCAAGCCCTACAGTGTGTGGAGCTATTGCAGGATTTAAGGATATTCAATCCAAGAACAGACTTGGAGGCAACAGTCACTTAAATGCAATATTTTAAAGAGTGTCAAGTATAAGAGATGAGAGTTTTTTGTTTTTTTTCATGATTCCCTGAAGACAGAATTGGAACTGCTAAGTAGCCGTTAGAGTGAGCATTCCAGCCCAATCTGAGAAAGAACTTCCTGTCAGTCAGAGCTGTCTGGAAATGAAAGGGAATGGTTTTTGACCTGCCTATTACCAAGAGCTGGATGCAAAGGGTTTACAACCAGGGCTTTTGTGAAAGGAGTTGAAGTTTGCTTTTGGACCCCATTCCCTCCCAGTCTAATCAGACAAGCAGACTTCCTGAGGAGAAAGTCTTTCCTAATTAATCCTACCTACCCCTACCATCCTGAGAGCAACTGTCCTTAGATTTCCACGAGTAGAGTCAGGGCACTGGCCTTGACTTGAGTTCCACTCTGTCATTTTCTGCGGCTCGTTGGCTGAGACAGCCAACTCCTCAATTTTATAGCAGGATGCAAAATCCCCATCCTGCTGAACTTAAAGAGGATAGTGATGTCTAACCTGGTGATCTTGCTCATGATGGTGATGGCGATAGTGGTGGTCCCATTGCTGTTGCTGCAGACATTATGAAGCTGCTGTCTTCCCTGGGTTGGTTTCTATCCCAGGACTGAAGTGTTCCTCTGTGAGTTCTTTTTTTTTTTCCCCACAGAGGAAGGGAGAGGGATAGAGAGTTAGAAACATCAATGAAAGAGATACATCAATCAGCTCCCTCATGCACAACTCTTACTGGGGATGTGCCTGCAACCAAGGTACCTGCCCTTGACCAGAATCAAACCTGAAACCTTTCAGTCCGCAGGTGGATGCCCTGCCCACTGAGCCAAAAACGGTTAGTGCTCCTCTGTGTATTCTTAACGGTCAATCCCTTCTTTCTTTCAGGCCGCTGTGCTCGCTGTGGGGAAAATGTCATTGGAGAAGGGACAGGATGCACTGCCATGGACCAGGTCTTCCATGTGGATTGTTTCACGTGCATCATCTGCAACAACAAGCTCCGGGGACAGCCCTTCTATGCCATGGAGAAGAAAGCCTACTGTGAGCCTTGCTACATTGTAAGTGCAGATTTGGTCCTCAGGTACTTTGCAAAGATATCTTCTTTGACAAAGTGCCAGTCACTCCAGATAGAATGTTGCCATCAGATCTTGACTCCGCCCCAGACTTCACAATATGTGTGCATGTAAATTGGCATATCTTAATTTTTTCCATGTGTTCATGTGAAAAAGGTGTGTTGGGATGGGGCTGCCATTCAATTAGTGGTCTTCTAGGAAGATCATCACCGTGTAGATTTCACACTTGTATGAAATATCTATCATGTTATCTCTCATAGCATCAGAGAGTTTCCCAAGTGGCAATATTAGGTGTCACCCTGAATTGTCAGTATTTGTTGAGAAATGTTACAGGGCCTCTGGACTTGTCAATGCACTTTTAAACTCCTGGTTCCTTTGAATCACCTCTTTTCTACCAGGAAGATTTCTTACCTATCATACTCAGAGGTTTTCAATGATGTACATTGAGAAACTCTTTATTATACTGCACCTTAAAGGGAAATGAATAGTAATGCTGACTGAGCTAACAATTGCTGATGTTGTCTTTTTGAAGAACGTGACAAATATATACTTTAATAACATCAGTGGGTGTCTAAAAAACACTGGTAGTCACATTATCTTAGCTTTTGGCCAGGTTATTCACATGTATACATGAAGCAATCATATGATATAGCAATTTAATGGATGAACAGAATATTTTGTTAACCTACAGCAATTGTCTTTGTTATCCTTCTGCATGACTTTAATGTGTCTGCTGAACACTTATTAGTAAAAAAAAAAAAAAAAGTAGTGCTTTTTGCAAACCTCTAAAAGAGCCATGGTTTGGCCTTCAGTGCCCAAGTATCCCTATTATAAAAACCCTTGGCCACGCATGCCGTCACGCCATCACAACCAAAGACTGGTCATCAGGAGGAGGCTATATGCAACGTGGGTGCTGCATGCAAGGTGCACTTGGGTAGCTGTAAATATTTCTCTCTTTTCCACGTCCAGTGTGGCTAGAGAGCAGTCCAGTTCCTGAGTAGGGGCAGCTGGGAATTGATAAAATGAAAGAAAGAGACAGACACAGAGATAGAAGTAAAAAGCTAGGGTCGGGTAGGACCTCTGAACTCTGACATGGACAGGGACAGGAACAGTGACCCAGATCCCATACAGCATGTTTATTTTATACAGTGAGAATAACAGGAAGTTTTACTAAAAGTCAAGACAAAGGAGATTATGTGCATTTTAGGGTGGGCCTGAGTCCTATTCATTCCTGGTGCTTGGCTGGATTTACATAATGAAACCCATTCCCTGGCACCTGGGCAGAAATAAGGTCAAGCTGACAACACTTCTGCCTTTTGGCAAAATGTTTTTCCAACACTGGCTTTGCCTACCACCATGGATTTAGCTGACAATTTAAAGAAATGCCAGGGTGCCTTCCCAGATGCTTTCTATAGGTGGTCAGGGCTGTGTGCATGGTAGGGCATACATGGGTGGGCAGGGACTTGTCTCTGGGTCCCATGTCCTGCCCTGCATGGCAGGAGTCAGTCTGGGACCCGTCTCCTGCCTGGCTCAGGTCCTGCTGACACGGTGGGTCTGGGTCTCGCGCAATATTGCTTACTGGGCCTCTAGTGTCAACATAGAGGAAGCTTTTGGTGTAAGACATTGGGAGTTATAAATGCCTTTGTAGATTCCCAAGTTTTAAATTGATTGCAGAAGTACCTGGCCTCTTTGGCACTTTCCCATAACCTGACAGCTCTAACTCATTGCAGCCCTGGAATCTGTAGCACAGATCTAAAGGTTTTTTGAGATAAAGATCTTAAAAGATTTAATATTGTTTTGCATTTCTTAAGCTTAATTTTATTTCCTTTTTTCTCCCCAGAGACAATTTAAACACTCGTATAGCATCATTATAGTGCCATGCAATGTTGGAACTGGAAAAAAAAATTTTTGGAAGATCATTAGTCTAACTCCTCTCTTTAGAAGTAAGAACACAGGGAAGCAGACAGGAATACAGTGACTTCTTATCTTCTGTCATTAGTGTCCAAACCAGGGCTATATTCAGTTGTTGGCACTCTTAGTCCCGTGTTTGTTTGTTTTTTGTTTTTACAGACATCACACAATTTTAGTTTATCCAGAACATAAACACCAACACAGTAAGGTCCTGTTGATCTGCAAGGAGCAATTTCATATCAGGGGAAGACAGTGAACAAAAGCTTACCTCTGTAGTGAATGAGAATATTTCAAATATTGCCCTTTGAATTCTGTGTTGAAAAGAGAAAATTACAAACCCTCTGCCTTTGTCATTAGATTGTGCAGACTGTCATTTGCAGTGACTTTCACATAGGACCACCATTATGGAATACTAGAGGCCCAGTGCATGAAAACTTATGCACTGGAAGGGCCATCCCTCAGCCCGGCCTGGCCCTTATCACAGTCCAGGAGCCCTCAGGGGTGGAAGATGGCCTAGCGATCAGGGGAAGGCAATGCTCCATCACACCTCTGCTGCTGCTACAACCAGCAGGGCAATCCTTGGCTGGCTCTGGTTACCTGAGCCTTGAGCAGTCCTGAGAGGCTAAGCAGACACCATCTGAAGCTTGCCTGTGCCTTGGGCCAGCCCTCGGTGGCTGGGGGTCTGAGGAATCTGGGGGAATCTGGAGACAGGTGCATGGCAAGGTTAGACCCACCCAGCCTTGCTGCATGCCTGCTGCCGCAAAGTGGCTGAGGAGACAGGGTGCCTCCACCATCTTGTGGCTGTTGACACTACCATCTTTCAGGGTGTGGCAGTTAGTATATTCCCTCCTTATTGGCTGTGGGTGTCACCATCTTTGTGATGGTGTGAGGGTCAATTAGCATATTCTGTCTTTATTATATAAGATGCTAGTAATAGGGAGCTCTGAGGTGATATCAGCAGAGTCTAGAGAAGCAGTTATGCATGGCTGTTGGCTCTTATACTAAATGAGCACAGGCTGCTGAGATTTTGTACCTCTTGTGTCTTTTCTCCATCTTTTTTTGGACTGCCTTGTTGATTTATGAACCTCATTCAGTTTTTCTTTATCCTTATGAACTAGGAATCTTATAAACAATATTGGAAACAATGTAACATAATGTAAAGAATGTGTCTGGATTTGGTGTTATCATTTAATGTCTTGTCTCCTTGGGAGAGTTATCTGATCTTCCTAAGCCTCAGTTTCCTCATTTATATAGTGGGTGCTTTCAGGATTTTTCTTGAAAAATAAGGTTTGTGGATATGAAATGAGGCAATCCTTGTAAAGTACACTTGGCTTGCTCAAAGAATGGTAGTGAAATACAGTACATGCTATTCTGAGGTAAATTTTGACAGGATATCTGGCCTTTTTAGTCTGAAAATGAGGACCTTACATGTGCAATGAGATTCAGCAGGCTTTAGAAAATTGTTTTAACCTGTCAGACATAACATTTTAAATGCTTTGCTTGCTCTCCTGTGTATGTAATAAAACCAAAGAAAGTCCAATCTGGCTAAATTATGGATTTCTGCAGTGAGTAAGCTCAGATTTCTCTCCCCATTCCAGGTGATATTTCAGGCTGCAGCTCTTAGCTTTTGTTGCCTGATACTATCCAATGTTTATGACAAGAAACACTGTCTGGGAGGTACTCAGTCACATCCTTCCAAGACCTGTGTGAATTCAAATAATGAAAATCTTGCCATCCTTTTGACTTCCCTCCTCAGAAAATTAAATCATGATTTTTCTTTAATGAGATTTATCCATGGTGATTGTAAAATGTAATTGAATTCTTATCAGAGTTAAGATTTATTCAGAGACCCTTGTTCAATATTGATTTCAGAGTTCAGCCCAGGCCTCAAGCCCCACATTGGATGTGTTAGCATTTTAATTTCTTCTGAACTTTCATAAGTCCAATAAGCTGCCACATTAGAAATGTGGAGATGAGAAAACTGTGTGTATATATCCCTCTTGGAAGCAAAACCCTTAGAACACACACCTGCAATGGCATTCAAATTGCCTCTCATTCCATTGGTGGAAACTGATGTCTGAAAGATATCCTATACAAAGCAGGGAAAACCAGGCACTAAACCTCAGTCAGTATTTTGTTTTGTTTTGTTTTTTTAATTGATATAATCAGAATATTAAAGATAGTAGTTTATTCATTTCTCTCTAAAGACCACCCATGTTTGATGCCCTGGAGTCTAGGAAGGAGACCAGTCTAATTTTTGCCTAAATTCATCAACTGTAAATCATATTTAAGTTGAACATTTATATCATTTTGAGGGAAACTTTGTTTCAATGATCATTCATATTTTCCTTTATTCTCTTAAATCCTTAATCCTTCTACATGCATACCTATAATGAAACAAGCTTGACTCTGTATGGCATTGTAATTCTCTTTAATAATTTTATACATGCTTTTTTTTATATTTACTGTAGATTGACTTCATATAAATATGTATATAGCTTTCCATGACTAATAATCATTACTTTTAGCTCTTTATATAGTTTTATATGCTTACACACTAAATTTTAAAACCATTTGCCACTAGAATATTTCTAATCTTTCTAATCTCTTAGTATTATTAATAGCATTAGAGGCTCGGTGCATGAAAATTTGTGCACTCCAGTGGGCGAGGGGGGAGGATCCCCTCAGTCCAGCCTATGCCTCTCACAAGCTGGGATCCCTCAGGGGATGTCCACCTGCCAGCTTAGGTGTGTTCCCCAGGGAAATAGGTCTAAGCTGACAGTCAGACATCTCGCTGGCAGCCCAGGAACCCTCAGCAGATGTCCACCTGATGGCTTAGTCCTGCTCCCTATGGAGAGTGGGCCTAAGTCACAGTCAGATATCCTTAGCACTGCTGCAGAGGCAGGAGAGGTACCAGCCACTGCCACTGTGCTCTCAGCCACCTGCCCAGCTTGTGGCTGAGCTGAGCTCCCCTTGTCAGAGTGCACTGACCACCAGGGGGCAGCTCCTGTGTTGAGTGACTGCCTCCTGGTGGTCAGAGTGTGTCATAGAACCAGTTATTCTCCCTTAGGGTC